AATCCCTTAAAAACAGAACATCCTGTCTTTTCCATATAAGCATCAATCGCTTTTGTTCCATCTTCTCCAAATTCAGTCCATGCAAGATCAATATCCTTGAGTATCTGAATAAAAAAATAATTCAATATGAAACCACGTGAGAAAATAAAGAAAGGAAAAGATTTACAATGTTATTTTCTAAAGCATTAACCAAATGTTGAACTCCGTCGTCTTTGATGGTATTTCCGGAAAGCTTGAGACTAGTCAGTGACTATACAATAAATTCAACATGAATATAAGAGAGATGAAAAGAAAAACGGAGTAACCTTATTATTACGTAATCCATCGCCTAGAAGTCGGGCTCCTTCAGCTTCGATTTCACTCGATCCAAGATCCAAATTATCGAGTGTCTATATGAAAAAACAATGATAGACATACGAACGATTAAGAGACATAAAAAGCCATTTACTTTATTATCACGTAAAGCAGCACCTAAATGTCCGGCTCCTTCATCTTTGATTTTATTAAGACCGAGGTTGAGTGTTGTGATTGTCTGAACAAATAAATCAACTTGAAAATGTAATAGACAAAGAAATTAATAGATTCACATTATTATTTTTTAGAGCATCAGCTAAGTGTCGAATTCCTTCTTCTCCGATATCATTGTTACTAATTTTGAGTGTGGTAAGTGCCTATATCAAAAATACAGATGAAAATGAGATAAATCTAATTAGAAAAAGATACATACCTTGGTATTTCGTATAAGATCACACAAGTGCTTTGCCCCTTCATCTCCGATCTGGTTCGATGTAAGACACAAATAAGTGAGTGTCTGTATCAAAACAAAATCAAGATTAAAATGAGCGAGATGAATAAATAAATATATTGACTGTGTTGTTTTTTAAAGCATTAACCAGATGTTGAATTCCGTCACCTTCAATGTTATTCTCTGAGAGATCGAGAATGGTCAATGACTACAAAAAATTCAATTTGGAAATAAAAAACATAAAAAGAGAAAGAAGTTTACGGTATTTTTTCCTAAAACTTCAGCCAAAATTCGTACTGATTCGGATTCTAAGTAAGTATTTGAAAAATTGATTTCAACCAATGTCTATGTGATAAAAATTCAAAAGAGAAATAAGAGAGATAAACAAATTTACTGTGTTATTTCGTAAACCATCAGCCACATATTGTATTCCTTCATCACCTAAACTCATTGAAACCAATTTAACTGTATCTAAGTCCTATATTAATAATTAGAAATGAAAATTAGAAGACAAAAGAAGAAAGAATTTAACTGTGCAACTTTGTAATCCATCAACCAGATGTCGAAGTGTTTCGGGTTCGTTTGTATTGCAATACAATACGAATTTCTTGAGTGCCTATATAATAATCAAAATGGAAATAATTAAGAAATAGATCTCTTGTTAAAAGACAAACGAAATTAGAATAGTCAAATATAATAAATAATTGCTCATAGAACATTATATATATCTTATTTATTAATATAAATCAAAGATCATCATGATTGAAAATCTACCAAAAATATTTATTTCTATTAAAAAGTTGTGAATACTGGAAATATTTCTACATATAAGATAAGAATAATAATAACTAATATATTTTTATAAGGCATTTTTGTGTCACTAGGAGAGAAAAAGTTTCTCTTCTCATCGTAGAATCTTATATAGAATTGTATATAAATTTAATGTATTAATACAATTTCTCATGTGATAGTCGTCAATAAAATAAAAGTTTATTTTCTTACGTCGAGTTTTTTCAATTCATTAGACACAAAGATCATATCTTCATCCGTGAATGTTAAGCCTTCTATAGACACGGTCGACGATCCCTTATAGTCCCACATCATCATTTTTTCAATATATTGGACACGTTCTGATTTGTTGTCTTCTGCTGCCATTTCGTTTCGATATAATCCACAATTTTAAAGAATAATAACACAAACTAAAAAAGAAGAAGAAAACAAAAATAATATAATCATTAATGTCATTTTTGAATATAATAAATTTACTTAAGTCATAGTATCGAAAAATTTGAATCTTATTGACTATGTACTAAAAGAGATTTTGAACATTTCTATCTTCTAATATTTTTACTGCAAAACAACTCAGGATGATTATCATTCTTGACCTTTTGATCCTAGCTGCTAGAAAACTATATTATAGGATTTATTTGTAATGAATCGCTTAAAAATATAGGATTTTTTATAAGATCTTTCTTCTCGACTGCATACTTCTAGTCATCAGTAGTTATTATCTTATATGAGTGACGAAGGTATGACAATTTTGATTCACAAGAAATATTTCTACATTCAAAATGAACTCAACTAAAGACATTCATTTATAATTCGAAAATGATAATGAGACAGAAAATATCATCACTTTATCAAGGTTTTATTGTTGATGGTAGCTTATAGAACGCATACTCTAGTAGGTTGCATCGCGAAATTCATAAAATGATCATATTCATTGACTAAAGCAAATAGTAATAGGTCATGATATATTTCTCTAGTAAAAAACTTCGAACGATCCTTTCTCATCAGTACCGAATATTCAGTATGTTTATCCTATTATGTTTATGAGTCATGTTGTCTGTATACGACAGTCAAAACATATCCGGACATCTATCAGTTTTTTCATCCGTCTCTATTCGTGGAACAACCACAAAAAAATATACAACATAAAATTTCTAAAAAGTTTAAATAAGAATCGAAATTATTAATTTAGTGCAGGAAATATAATGTAAAATGTGAGCGACCTACTAGTTAAAAGAAAATTAGAGTAATGCGAAGGAGGACAATAATTTTGATACCTTTTCTTTACCTGTACATTCTACATGTGCGTATATATTTAATACGAATATGACATGCAGAGACATATTTATTTTCAAACTTTAATATTTTTGTATACTATAAAAAATATGCACAGCGTGGCATGTCGGTATGAGTATCAATATACGGAGAAAATATTCTAGAATAAAAAGTGTTTGTAACTAAATCGTTCACAAAATGATGATCCGATAGGTCTTTGTATCATGTAAAAAATAACGAAGCAAATAAAATAAAACAAGGAATACAATATCATTAATTATAATAACAGATATCTTTTAATTGATCTATTATGAGGATTTGTTTTTCGTTGCCTATAGTTCTATCTTGTATCAAGACAATAATCGAAAAGAATTTGCTAGTACATGTAGAACTCATTATAATAAATACAATAAATATAGATTGGATGACAAAAAAGATTTGAATATTGAAATACTAAATTCTGTTTGTGTTTCGAATAGTTACCTGTGCTCATTTACTTACGTAGATATGTATGCGCCACTAACCGACAAATCAAATTTGAGTGACTAATAGCTTGTACAAGACTAACGACAATTTTTTTCTTATGCTCTGTCAAAAACATGAAATAATATATTGGCTTTGCAGCTGAAAGAAAGCAATCAACCAAATCAAAATGTGAGAAAATGTGCGTTGATTTAGTACAGAACAGGAAAAAATACAGATCTATGTTGTTTTTTTTTTAATATTGTATTTTTATTGCGCTGCATAAAGGTTCACATGTAGAAAGAACAAAAAGAAGACACGATGAAAGAAAAGAAATAAACGCAACATTTATTTCTATGTTCCAGAGTAGACGAAAAAGGTTGATCAAATAAACATTACATGTCACATTAAAAGGTAGAGTCGAGGACTGCAGATCATATTAATACGGCTAAACTATTCCTGTATAGAATAAAATATAAGGTATAAAAATATTGATCAATAATAAAAGAAAAAAAAAAAAAATAGAGACCATCTTGAGGATATGCATGTAGATTTAGTGAGCTTTATTTTCATATTCACATCGACATTCACCCTCAAGATAGAATATTTAAGATATTTGAAAACAAACAATACGATGATATAAAATGATTTTCTGTTAAGTTACATGTTTCTTCTCTTAATCAAATATTTATTTTCTAACTGATTCAACAGTTTTTATCAAATTTTCTCATAAAATCCAAAGAGATTTTCATATCAGTTGAATATGACGCATTGCTTGGAAAAAGACTAGAGTGTATATGTGACATGATAATAACACTGGTCGACGATAGTGTCTAAAAAATCAGATCTGAACATTTTTTCTAGTTGGAATTTTATCTGACGAAGAAAAAAGTAACTCGCCAGACATGATTCTTGTTTTCTTGATTTCTTTTTTTTTCTATTATCTAACATGTTTACTTAAAAAACAATAAATAATAAAAATGACTTATTTACATAAAAATAAAGAAAAAAAACTATCAATGACATTCTATTTACATGGAAATTAAAATATTTTATTTATGTTAAAAGTATATAAGTTCCTGACATTTGGCTTCTACATATTTATTACTCGGATCGATGATTGATTTCTCGACAAATTATTATTCGAAAATTCTAAAGTCAGTTACAATTTGACACACTGATATTGTATTTTTATTGTACAAATATTTTTACTTAACTATTATTGATATGCAACTCAAACATTGTATGAAAAGACTATCGTTTACTCATTAAATCGAATACAACAAACATAGTTTGTTCTCGTCTGAAAATGAACAAATAAAGTGTAGGCATGAGTCTCATTTTCTTTCCCATCAAGAACGATGTCTATATTTCAAGAAATTCAAAAAATCTAGTGTATCTCTGCAGATTCTTGGTTTTGTACTAGATTGAATATAAAATTTCGTGATTACGAAAGACGCTTACTTAATATAAAACTTTATTAGATTATTTATTATTTGTCTTAGTTAAAGTCACGCGCGCAATTCGATATTGAAACAAACATTTTTAATTACTTTTTGTTGTTTTTTAACGAAGTTTCCAGAAATATCTGCAGAAACCCGAAGAATTCACTTTCATTATTATTATTTGATTTCTTGCAATGGAAAAAATAATTATATTCAAATTTTTTTATAAATATAGAAGTATAATTATATTATAATAATAGCGTATGCATTATTATGCTCATACGAATAAAATTATAGGCTGATCGACTACGTACCCTTTACAACATCAATAAGTATGAAATTTTTTTAGAACTTTAGATACTATCAATTGGTTTTTAGTTGTTATAAGATTACCGATAAGGTTAACTGAGAAATATGTAGAATATAACAGACAAAGACATGTTAAAATAATTAGCAGATTTTATGAATAACCTTGCGAGAATTTATATCATGTCTAATTTCACAGAAAAATCTATTCATAGGTAAAATAGTTTCCTCCACAGTCAGATTTGAAATCTATCAGATCGAATATGTTTCTCGATACATGAAATGAGAATAGAAAGCATTTTTAAAATATATTTGCAAATTTTCATTGTTTAGTTTAAAAAAACCAAAACGATGATCAATTTACTTCTACTTTTATTCGATTTTTGCGTTGTCATTACCGGTCGACACTTCAATGGTGGTACTATTCGATGGGAACCAATTAACCCGAGCATCAACTCAAGTGTAGTACCTATAAGTATCATTCAAACTTATTCATGGACCTATCCACTCATTTCTTGTGCTACTGGTGTTCCCATATCAACGAGTGGTCGAAGCAGTAGCAATGCTAATCTAACATGTGTTACTGATTGTTCAACAGACGGTGGTTATTCAACTAAACCAGTTAATATTTTAACTGATTGTCAAACAGCGAGTTCATCATTAGGAATGATGACAAGTCAACGATCAGTCAACATTAATTTAACTGCAAATGCTCATTTTTATCTTGCATACGTTGGATCTGCTTGGGTATCATTGAATGATCCTGCTGCAAGTGGACTTGAATGGTCAATTGTTTGTTCGATTGATCTTCGAATGCGACCAGATGGTATTATTAATACACCACCTGTTGCAAGTGTCGTTTCGCCTCAATATGCAATTGTTAATCAAACAACTCAAATTACTATTCCTGTGTCGGATGTGAATACCGGTGATGATGTACGTTGTCGATGGTCAACTTATACACCAGGATATCGTCGACGAAAACGATCGGATGAAGACGATTATATATATGAGAATTATAAACCTCAAATATACAAGAAACCATTGGAAAATAAAGAATTAACGCATGTTAGAAAAAAAAGATTGACTTTTGATCCTTGTTATTCTTGCAGCAGCACATGTAACTTTGGTTGTCGTTGTTCTTGTGCTGGATGTGTGGGGATTACATGTACTGGCATATGTTATCCATGGACCGGTTGTTCAACGGGAACTACTACACTAGAAACTCCAGGAACAATAAAACCAACTTTATCGTATCCTAATCGTCAGCCTATTGATGAATGTGGTGGAATCTGTTATCCAAGTAGTTTACCTAATGGCACAAGTCTATCCGGATGTACTATATCATTTACAGGTCTTGTACCTAATACATGGTATGGTGTTGCAGTTCAGGTGAGCAGATAGTGTTTAATTAACTAAGATAGAACTGCTTGTATTAATGTGAACCTTTTACCCACAAAAAATCAAGCGATATTTAGTACACTGAATGCACTAGATCTTTACTAAATTCTAAAATCAGTACAAGGTTTTACGCCTCGGAAATGGTACAAAAATTTTAAGACATACGTACGTTTGCATTTTAATCTTTTTCTTATTTTGAAATTGTATGAACAAAATCATCAAATTTTTGTTTTATTAGGTAGAAGACTTTATAAATAATTCAAGTAATATTTCAATGAGTTCAGTACCGGTTCAGTTTTTGATTTATGTCTTACCACAACCAACATGTGGATTAGCACCAATTATTTTTCCTGCTGATCTATGTTTGGATGTTCAAGTCGGTGTTGTAACAAATTTCGATATATACGCGGAGACCTTGTGTAATCCTAATATATCAAACATTGATTCAATTGTCGTCACAAGTGTCATTGTTGGGATGAATGTTAGCGATGTGATCACTTCACCAGTAAATGCATCAATATCTTATTTCACATTTACTTGGCAACCTCAAATGAATCAACTTGGTTCACAACAACTGTGTATAGTAGTTTATACCAAGTAAATCTTCATTTAATTAATTTCTTATTATTGAAAAAATGTTTTTTTATTCATTAGTGAACAAATATCATCTCAACCGTATTGTATCATATTCAATGTGGTATCATCAGTTGTTACTTGTACGATCACGACTACATCAACGACAACTACAACATCAGAAACAACGACAACAGGAATTACTACAAGTACAAGTTCAACTACAACTACAACTACAACTACGTGAGTTGTATTTTCTATAAATATAATGATTCTTTCTGATGATTCATTTGTTGCGAGTTTATTAAAGATTTTTTTCTTTAGAACTGTGACCACGATGGCAGAAGTTTCAGGTAAGAGAGATCAATAAGAATTTGTATCAGTATCATAGCAATTATATAATTCTTACATAGGACAATCTGTAAATTGGCCGTTAATTGTAGGTTTATCTGTCTTGGCTGCATTACTTGCTCTGTGTTGTATGTGCTGTTGTTTGTATTGCTTATTGTGGTGAATTCTATTATAAATGTAGAGAATCAAATCATATTGACAAACATTTTGTTTTTTTTAATAGGGGTCCAGCTGCAAGACGCCGACGACGCAGAAAAAATGAAGAAAAACTACAAAGACACATTATTACACAAAGAGTTACACCAATTACTTCCTTCAGAAATCATCATTTTATCAAAATGCTTGAAACTGAGCAAATACAAAACAAAAATTTCAATTATACTGCATTGAATAATAGGAATAGTGTAGGAAGAATATCATTATCTGATATACCAGTAAATTCTCGTACTTTCACTATTACTCCAATTAATTCTGGAAAACGTATGAACTTATCGGCATCTTCTAATGAACAAGATACACCTATGAAAGTTATAAATAAAAATGAAACAAAGCCACGAACATCAGTGATTTCAGTTGCAGGAAATGAATCAGTAAAATTAACTGGTAAAAAAGATAAATTACATAGAATGTCACACGACAAGCCTAAAACTCCATTAGTAACCAGAATTAACCAGGTCGGTATTATTAAAAGTTCACGACAAAAAACTGGCACAACACAATCTTCGAGTATTGGCAACACCACTGCTATCAATTCGGGAAACTCATTGTTTAATATACAACCAATAACAAATCGATTAGCAAGTGCATCGCTTACGAGAGACCGAAATAGGAGTGCCGGAAAAGGAGTAATTGTAACCAAAGTTCCAAGAAATTCATCATGAAATTAATTGCCTTACTGAGAAAGATTTAATATGTACCTATAAACATTCTATTATTTTTTTTTTGTAGAACTAACTTATATATTTCTAACAAAAGAATTGTTTTATTAACTACTAACATATTTTCATTTTACTATTGTTCAAAATTTCAATAAATAAACTCATTTACGCTCTTGCATTTAACTATTGATATGTAAATGTAGGTTATAGCATAATCATGATTTCACTTTTACTGCGATATTCACATGTACTTTTAATAACTGAGTCATTTTATTTACCTATTTTTATTTCTGTTCGTTCGTTTATCGATATAGGCACGCAATAAATATAAAATATTATATTATTCCGTCGTTCTCTCTGTTTTTTTTTGCTTTCTGCAGCACCATAATATCTTGCACAGTAGGACGAACCAGTAAGACCATGTGACAAAAAAAACAACTACATATAGTCACTATTCACACACACATTTTATACGTGACATGATATCCCGAACTACACGTTCTCATACAATTTCAAACGATGAAATCGGCTCTCAAACGCAATCTCGATTGTCTAAACTATTACAACATCATGACCATCATCTTTCTCAATTCACATCTGCTGTTCTTTCACCACTCTACTTAGCTTGTCAAAACAATGATATAGCAAAAGTAAAAGATTGTCTTACGACAATAAAATATGAAAAAATTGATTGTCAGTATTCACCAAATAATGAAACTGTTCTACATGTTGCAACACGAAATCAACAGAAAGAAATAATAGAAATACTTCTATCATACGGTGCACAACGATCCTTGAAGAATACAAATGGTCAACAAGCACACGAACTAGCTGAAACAAAAGAAATTAAGGATCTATTTGAACGTTCAAAATCATCTCGTTTTACATTTCGACACAACTACAGTCAGAATCAGACAACTCCTTCAGTTCAACATAACATAAAATGTGAAAGTTGTTCATTGATAAATGATCATACTTTCTATGAATGGGAGTTGATTGATCGAAATGCAACACAAAAAGCACTCAGATTTCGTCGTGAATTGAAACCGTTCACATCAATGAGTGAAAAAGATTTAAAACAAAAACTTTATTCAATAAAAAAAGGTTATATTAATACACGTGTTCAACATGCTTTGACAAACGATGGTACACGTATACATGATTATTTTAAGCGTGCATTGCTTGAACTGGAACCCCATTTGATTGTTACTGCATACACTGCTTCTCAAAGCTTTTCAGAATTATTAAACAAGGATATGGCACGTAATGTTATACATGATTTAAAGAATGGATGTAGTAAATTTTCTTGTGACTGTCTCTATTCAACAGAAGATGGTACAAAATCAATTACAAATATTTTCTTTCATCATCCAAAATTTCAAAAACTCAGTTTCAAAGGTACAGTTTATCGTGGTATTATCATACCGAAAAATAGTCTTGATCATTATAAAGTTGGCTCTTGTATTCTTACAACTACATTTCTGTCAACATCAACAAATCCTGCAGTTGCTCAAAGTTTCTGTGATAAAGGAATACCCAATTCAACGACTCATTCATTCTTCTGTATTTATGAAATATTTGATGAAGATCATACTGCTCTTAATATATCAACTATATCAGAATTTAAAAACGAAGATGAGGTATTGATTCTACCATACTCAGCTTTTCTTATTACAATGATCGAAGAAAAACAAGACATAACATATATTTATTTGAAAGAGCAGTGTTTAACAAATATGATTGATATTAGTGGAACACAAGAATATTCACTTAAATCAACAGTACGTTTATTGGAACTTGTCGGAAGTCGTTTAGTACATAACATCGGTGATATGATATTAAATGAAGATAATCACATACGACCCCGATCAAAGACGATGCCTGTATTAAATACATATTTATAATAATTTGAACATATTATTTTATTTCCCATCAACTTTTCAATATACATTAATTAATAGAATATATGAAATCATTAAATTATATAAATTTGTGTCACATTTGACAAATTACTGTCAGCTCTTTCTCTTTGAGGATCATAACGAAATACTTTTGTCATCAATACAATTAATGAACGTTTGTATTCATTTATATAAACATTCGATGGATAGATATAAATAGCAAATGTCATTGTAAATGGTATATTTGCTAATGTTATTAGAATTAAATAAAGACGTAAAGTCATTGTTGGACCAATACGATCACATGAATAAATGACATGTTTAAAAAGATACCATGGTACTATACATAAAATATAACATAGGGGTGGTATAAAAAAATCCATATGTTTCTTCATTTGTTGTCTCCAAACAACCCAATATTTTTCTTCACCTGAATTAATATATACTTTATGTACACTAATATTTCTAAGGACAAAAAGACTTGATAAAATATGTATTAAACATGTAATTAAGACAGTACCAAATTCAATACATTTTACACTTTTTACTAAATTAGGAAAAATTGTCGATATTTCAAAGTTACCAAAATATAATAAGAATGTAGGTATTTGTGTCAGAAAAGTAAATATAAGTATGATAAATGAGAGACAACAAGCACGTTTTCGTGTTGCATAGAGAGCACAATTAAAACATTCTATAAAAAGACGTTCGCAAGCAATCATACTTGAATACCACATTGCTAGAAAATTTAAGAGATTTAATAAGATAGCTGATATATAAAATAGAATTGTACGTTGCAATGATTGTGTATCAGATATAATTGATGTTTCTAGAAATACACAACGTATTAAATTACTTAGTGAGAGAAATATCAGATAAACACCAAGATTCGTTATACGTATAGATGTGCAAAGACATGTTTGAATAGTTAGGATATTGTTGACAATAGTACATCCAATAATTAATTGAAATAAGAAAATAAATAGATATTCAGTATTTGGTAGATACAAAGTTAAACTGTAGTATCTTGACTGTTGCAAAACATCTGTACATGTTGCATTAATTTCAAATTCAATCATTGATGTATTCATTTTTACGTTTTTTTATATGTGTAAACCTATTGACCGAAAAACAAATTTTACATACTGTTATTTCGTACAAAAATAAAAAATATAAGGCTTTCGTTCTATTATATTGATAACGATATAAATATATTTTTTTCATTTATGTTTATTTGCACAATGATTTTCGTTCTGATATATATATATAAATAGAAAGGCAAAAAAAAAAGAAAGGAAGTAGAATACGTAGATAAGTGGATGTGAATATGGATCGATACAAGTGCTACCAAAATATAAAAAAATTGTGACGAGTGTCGATTTAATCGAAAATCGTAGTTCTTCTGCAGAGCAGTTAGAACTGAGTTGTGATGCTTCAGGCTCATGACAAGAGTCGACCTCCGATCACGGCTCGTCGACATATATCTCTTCGTTCTTCCTTTTATGCTGTTTTATGTTTGAAGTTGTGCAAGAACACATTATTGCACAACGTCAAATAACGAATAGTATAAGAAGCAGAACAGAAGGTAACTAGTTCGATGAGCCGTGATCTCGGTTTAACTCTTATGTATTGAGACTGAAGCACTACAACTCGGTCTATCTGATCGTCGCAAGACGATTCAGATAACCATTGAGCCGAGATCAAACTGACACTCGTTACTTTTTTTAAATGGAATAATATTAGGTTACGCAACTGCTGCAAATACGAATATTTGTCTAACCTCCAAAAAAGATACATATGCAACCGTATTGGGTTGTTTTATCTATCAAAATTGGTTTGATGAAGCTCTGATAAAAGAACATCTTCTATTCAATGGTAATTGAACGGGATATTTTACATTAATTTATCTAGACGTAGAAGTAGTTGATGTTATAGAAAAATTAAAAAAGAGTTTACTAACAGATGATTAATCAAACTTAAACTAACAGCTGTTCTTGAGGGTATGGGTGTAAGTATGAGGCATTTGAGTGTATGGGTACGGGTACGGTTGTGGGTAGAAAGAGAAGACACTCACACCACACCCACACCCTCAAGATGGTACAGGGCCATATCGAAGTTGTCGTAGGAACAATTTTACTAAATAAACGGATAATTTGTGGACCCGCAGCGCTCTACATGCTACATATCTACCGATAAACGACTTGCATCTTGAGCAAGTTGGAGTTTTTTGTGAGATGAATAAAGCAACCTATTTATTTATGATAAGGAAAGAAGGAAAAGGCTTGATGATTGATTGTCTATAAAGACACTCGAGCAAAGTATACCTTCGGTTTCACTCCTTATCTAACATCTATTTTTGTTGTTGTCGTAAACAGCCAGCAATGCATATCGTTGCACCTGCTTTGGTCTTCTTGATGCTTCTCATGTCTCCAATCATCGCACTAGATGCGGAGACTTATTCAAAAATTTCATCTGATATTCACAATGATGGCACAGACATCACGACCCTCAAAGTGGCTATGTATCCTCATTTGCCTGATTCGGCAGGTGACAACTACGCAAAACTATTACAATTTATCAACGAGGAATTTAAAAAAATTCAACCAACGATCAATCTACAGCTACGTCCGCTAGACCAAAACGATGACTTCTATAGTCTGGCGACACTTACTCCGTGGCTATCAACCGACGGAACAGGATACGACGTAGTCGAAATTGATACTTTGGTTTTGGGTGACCTTGTCAACGCTGGTCTCATTGTTCCGCAATTTCCCATCTCACATAATCATTCAGATTGGCATTCAGCTGCCGCCAGTGCTGTTCTGTTTAATCAAGCAGTGTATGCTTATCCACACATTATGTGCGCATATTTTCTTTTCACTCGTGATGAACAAGCAGCTAAAGTAACTACCATAGACGAGCTTATAAATATTCTAAGCCCTAATGCTTCTGCCACTTATCGTCTAGTTGGAAATATGAATTCTAGTTGGATCTTACCTTCTCTGTGGATTAACAGTTACCAGAGCAGTAATAATTCCGAATATAATATACCAGCATTTGCTCTTCATTCTTATCAAAAGAACTCATTTGAAACTATGCGCAAGTTTGCACAACTCTGTGATCGAGCAGGAGGAGAAAATAACTGTCTTAACGGAGTATTCAGAGATAATTCCAACATGACGGCCTTATTATTTGCACATAAACAGACGGCGGCTATGTTTGGCTTTTCTGAAAACCTTTTTACAGTCCTCAAAAATGGAGATCTGGATGACTATTCCAATGTCAAAATGATTCCATTGCCATTAGGTACAAATGATAATCAACCTGGTTTTTTTACTAATGCATTCGTTTTTCGGCGAAATATGTCAGTCGATGTATTAAAGGCTGCTCGTTTATTTGCCGATTTCATGGGCACACCCCGTATGCAAGCAGCTGTTGTTGGCAGTGCAGATAGCCCTAATACGAAGCCTCGCTACCTTCTTCCTATGTCAAAGAATGCTTATAATGAACCACTTTTAGCAAATGACCGCTTCTATCAGCAGTATTTTCGAAACTTAGACGTTGGTTATTCTTATCCAACAGCAGGATTCTTAAATACACGCAAAGAACTTAACACTGCTATTTTGAAAGAAGTCGATATCAAAAATGACCCTTCTTCTTCATCGATCAGTATTTCCACCCATTCTAAATTCTCTCTCCTGCTGTTCTTCATCTTCTATACATTTCATTATCTACTCGTATATAGTTACCTTCTTGTTTCTCTATAGACTTATCCATCCTCTCGTTGTGTTCTCTTTCTCTCGATTGACATTGTTTCTCTGATAAATGCTGAATGTTTCAAACCGGAAGGAATGGATTGGAATCAAACTAATTGCTGGAAGACAACACATTTTCGTCACGACCAAATCTAAAAATTTCTTTGTTTCCCTTTTCTTCTAATATAAAAGTGAAAATATATCTTCAAAAATGTAACTATTCGATCTATGAATTGAACGTATCGCATGCAATATTAATATTTTTGTCGATGGCCAAAATAATACTCGAGGGTGTGGGTGTGGGTGTTAGTGCGAATGAGAAAAAGAAGACACCCACACTCTTTTATTTATATAAAGTTAGAATAACAAAGTTGTTAGACTCTTTTTCATTCTAGTGTTTACATCTGGGCTGCGATTCGACCTATATTTCCTATAAATCCTATATTTTTGACGAATCCTCTAATTTGTCCTATATTTCGACTGCTTTTCCTATTTTACCTATATTTTATCGAAAAACAGAGAAATCTAACTGATTTGACAAAAATATGAGAAAATAAAAGATTATTCAATGAGTATTAGTCGGATTCCACACCGACAAGCCCTGAGTACTGATAAAATCAGCCCTGATACATTGAAAAAAACAGATTGAATATATATGCACATGTATAGACGTTTTCAATTAATGCACGTAAGATCACGATATCTATTGTACGTAATATTATTTGTATTTTCACATCTTCCACGAATTTGCTAAGAAATTGTTTAATTTAATCTTCTAAAGATCCAATAGTCAAAAGAATAAAACTAATGTATACAAAATAATCATGTGTTCTGCGCACCTTTTTTCGCAGTTTCACGTATGTACAAATGTGCGCATTTTTGTGATAAGTTTTTGCAGATAGATTCGGCATGTATAAAGGGGGTGATCAAAAAATCATCACTTTTTACTCACGCTAGAAATGTCATAATACGAAAGTCCCTATTACCTAGTTCACAAATCCGGTATCCATTCGTCTAAGTCTGATCCTTTTTTTTCAGTGTTTCCCGCAGGGCGATACTTGGATCTCAGTAATAGACTCAGGTACTACCCCACAGAAATCGCTGAAAAAAACGACCAGATCTAGACAAGCGGATGTCAGATTCGTGATCCAGGTGACAAGGACTTTCCTATTATGACATTTCTAACGTGAGTAAAAATTCATGATTTTCGACCATCCTTAATCAAAGGGTTAAATAAGCATTTATTTATTTATCAAATTTAATTATGAGAAAAGTATTTGTTTGCTTTTTCGCTATTTATTTTTGAACGTTTACGATTTACTTCTTTTTTTGTTATTTACTGAAATGTGAATAAACCATATCATAATCGATATTTCAAACGCCGTTTGATTTAAATGATTATTTTGATAGCAAAGAATTACACAACTGTAAGTAAAGTGTGATCATTTATTCTAATTCTATCAAAGGAAAAATATGAAGTAATAAAACTAGTAAAACTATATTTTTTCACAAAAATAATGCATACCTATATTTTTGCCATTTTTTATAGAAAATCCTATTTTTAGATAAAAACAATCCTATAAGGATTCCTATTTTTTTGAAAATTCGCAATCGGAGGCCAGGTTTACATTCGGAAGATGGATGAGAGCATATATGTAGGATGACTATAATGCCTACCCTCACTATCAAGATGTTTTTTTTTTATATATACCTGATAAAGTAGATGATTGTTTATTATTTATCACCAACCCTGCTTTCTAGCTAATGCCGTTAGAGATGTATCTGGATTTTCGCTGATTTTCTAACCTTTCATAGGAGTCAAACGTCGAACAAAGTGTATATTCATAATCAGAATGCACAATTCCATCGAATGTCATGTCTTTGAGTGACAAAAACGAAAGTTATCAAATGACGTTGAAGCGTAGGTGTGAATGCAGGTATATGTATGAATATGGGTACTATGAGTATCTTTCGCCCACACTCTCAACCACATAGGAACTAGTTTACTACCAATTATTGAAAACAAAGAAACCTCGAACGAATATTAAAAAAATCAATAATATTTGCACGTATTGAATTTGTTAATCCTTTCGATAATATGAAAGAACGATCAGTATTCTAATTTATATTTCTTCGGCGATAGTATATGTAATTGAAGACAAACATTTATTAAATCCACCTAAGCTCTTAAAATATCATTTTCGTCATTCTTGCTCGCTCGAAGATTAGATTCGAAACGAAATAAAAGCAGAGCGAGTATTAGTGCAAAGTCACAGTTTCAAAAACAATGATCATGTCTTCGTTTTTTGTTGGACTCTTAACTCTGCTATTACTGAACCAATTTGCGAAAAGTTTATATGTAACACCGACGTTTGAAGATGAACGTGGCTTTCAATCGGCTGGATATCCGTAAGAATGATGAATATATGCGAAAATAAAATAATATTATTCTATACTTATATTGTTACAAATGTAGAGCGATGACGAAAGAACATGCATATCAACTTCTCTATCCGTCGATCAGCAGTCGATCAAGTGCAGATGCATTTCTTGATAAGCTCGTTGTGCCAGGTGGAGAAACACCAATCAAGTTTTTCTGGTCAGGTTTTGGTGTTCCTAATAGTGCTGAAGTAGCTGCTGAAATAGCACGTTATCACAATGGAGTAACACTTGAGATGCTACTTGAGAGACCAGAAAATGCTGCTGTAAAACAACAAATGTGTATTTGGCCGGCAAGAGAGGATATCTCGCCTGTTGCTGAAGCTTGTCGAGCACAATGGAGACGCCTCTCGCAGGTATATGCAGAGAAAGCCCGAGGTAAATTATTTTATCTGTGAATGATCATCGAAGTTTGTGAGCAAACAGAAGAGATAGAATCCATTTATTTTAGGACCTGTCACTCCCATACTTGGTGATCACGTAGCGCCTGACAGTGTATGGATGACACATGAAAAAAATGCTCTCAATCAGAGTCAACAAAAAGGAAACTATCTGTATGGATTTCAACGTCCAATGAATCTTTACGAAGTATACTGCGTTAAAATGGCTAAGTCTAGATCCGATTATCCAGAAATTAAAGAAAAAATATGCACGAAGCAAACTGGTTAATATTATATTTCTACCTCACATATTATTTGATCAATATGTCTTCATTGTTTTTGCTTTTCTGAAATAAATAAATTCTTTGACGAAAGGACATACTGAGAGATATAACAGCGTCCGATTCGATAGAGAATATGACAAAGATTTTTTAGATGATTTATTTCAAATTTTTCACCCACAACCGTATTCACAGCCTCGAGTCTTCGAATACCTATACAGTATCTCAAACAAAGCCAATAAACATCGAGTATTCTTTATGAATTATTCGTTATATAAAATGAGTAGAAAAAAATATTTTACTTAAATTATTGTTGCATATATTATGCTAACTTCTTCACCAGACTCGTCAATGAAGTTATTCGTTACTTGTCAGGCTTTTTTCTTTTTTCTTTGATATTTGTTGAGCACTTTCAACAATTAGTTTAATCAAGAAAATACTAGTCAACAAAAATGGTCTTGTAACAGTTGTCGTGCAGTGTAATCATAAAAGTATTTTTTCTGCTGGAAAACACTTGCTGCACAATGTATGGTGCATTTTTGACGACGAGTAAATATTAAAATTGCAGGAAAAAAATAGTAACTACGGAGTTCAAACAATTTTGAAACAAA